GCATGCTTCTTGAGGCACTAGGGGTGGAAAGTTCCATGTGGCCACAGCACAGCGCTGAGCAAGCTGGGCCTCGGCGGGCAGAACGGAGGGCGCTGTGTGCAGATCTGTGCAGGCAGAGGCCCCCCACCCCCACCCCGGGCACAAGTCGGATCTTGTCATCATTTCCATCCGTTTAATCACAGACTCCAGGAGACACTGTGGGAAATACCAGTGAAATGGAGGGCTCCCGCCAGCATGCCAGCGAGCATGAGCGGCCCTCTCTGAGCCGAGGCCAGGCTGCTGTGGGCCCCTCACCCCAGGGGAGGCTGCCACCCGAGTCCAGACCTGCCCGCCGGAGAGGCTGGGAGGTTGTGGAGATTCTCATCCTTAAGGACCCAAGGCTGGGCACGAGGCTCCACCGGCAGCCAGGGACCCTGGAGGGGGCGGCTGGGATGCCAAGTGGGAAGTCAAAGGGGAGCCTGGAGAGGCAGACCCAGCCCTCAGCGTCGTCACATGGGATGTGGGCAGTGCCCGGGGGGGGTGGGTGGCTGAGCAGGAGGGCCCGGCATGCAGGCCTGGGGAGGGACCAGCAGAGCTGCTGTGGGCTCCAGTGACTGTCCCTCCCCGTGTTCGAATCAGGCTGTGGTCCATAAGGATGCTACTGGGGGGTAAAGTGGTGGTGGCTCTGCTGTCCCTCCAGCAGGGGCCAAGACGTCAGGCTGCTGTGAACTGGAGCTCAAACCCACAGCTTTCCTGCAGCTGGCCCACCAGCACAGGGCCCCATCGGGGACAGCCAGGCAGGGGAGGTGGGCGAGGTGTGCTCAGGGCAGGCTCAGGATAGAGCTACAGGCATGGGGCGGGGCAGGGCTGCGCCGCCTGGGCAGGAAGGCCATGGCTGTGCACTGCCGTGGCTGCTGCAGGGCAGGGCCCCCTGCCCCCGAGAGCTGGCTTTCTGCTGGGACTGTCGGCGAGGCCTGGGTGCGTGTGGCCGTGAGGGCAAGCAGCAGCGTGATGGGGTGGGAGCTGGGGGACGTGAAGGCCCAGGCGCTCACTTCTGCACCAGAGTGCTCGGGGAGACGTTGCGTGAAGATGTAAGACAACGTGTTGACATCTAAGGCATCATCTGAGACGGGCTGTCAGTCAGCTCCAAGTGGCCGCTTCCAGCAGGGTCCGCTGGAGGACGCTTCAGCCAAGCCTCCTGCCATGTCACCAGCAAACATCGTGGGGACAAGAGCGGCCCCTGCCCCCAGGGGCTGCCCGCTGGCTCAGCTCTCTGGCCAGTCCAGCCTGCTTCCTCCTGGTCGGCTCTCTGTGCCAGTGAGGTGAGACCCGTATCAGACAGGGAGCGCCAGGCTGTCACTTCTCATGCTTGCCCCCACCCTCACCGGAGGGCCATGTTGGGTGTTCAGCCAGTAGCACGGGGGCTGAGGGGCTGGGCCAAGCTCCAGGCTGCAACCTCCTCTATCCTGGGCTCCTAGGCAGGGTCCCCGGCTGCTTCCTGGGGGCTGGGGGGCTGGCCGAGCTGGCGCTGAGGGTGGTGTTGAGGGCCAGATGCTGCTATGTGTGTGGCCTCAGGCTCTGGCCTTTCCCTAGCGTGTCCCCTGGACAGGGCTCGAGTCCCCTTCCATCCTCTGAGTTGGCCCAAGAGATGGTTGGCTCCGTAGTCCTGCACTCCTGGGCGGGGCCTCCCTAGCGGGCCTCCAGGACTCGGCACCAGGTGCTCACCGCAGTCACTGCCCTGTGTCCTTCCAGAGCCCCCACCCACGCCCGCCCAAGCACCTGTGTGCTGTTTGCCTGGGCCTGGCACAAACAGCCCGCCCTGCAGCCCAGGACCAGTGCCCCTAGTTCAGAGAATAGACACCCCAGACAGTTAGTGCCCCGTGGGCGGCTCTGATGGCCTCAGCTGTCCCTGCCCCGCAGCCCGCAGTGGACAGCAATGCTCTGTACCTATCTGGGGAGACTGCAGAACTGGCCAGTGGGTATGGACAACTGGAAGCTGAGAGGCCTGGATGGGGCCGGGAGACCCCATCGGGAAGGTCAAGCTCTCTTCACCCCATCTTAAGGCACAGGGACCGAGCAGGGCCTCGCTCCCCGCCACGGGCTCCTGGCTCCCCTTCATGTCTTGCAGCCCTGCTTGGGTCGCGCCCAGCAGCCCTGCATGCACAAGCATACACATGTGGGTGCCGCGGGCCGGGCGTGTCCTAATTAGCCCGCTATCTTGCAGTTCTCATTGAAAGCAAAACAAACCAAAAAGTCCTGGTTTAGCCTGGGTGCCGCCCTGTTGCCAAGCGGGTCTCACCCGGGCTTCCAGGGGCCTGTGGTTCCGGGGACCCCGCCAGGCTGGCCCCACCACCCGGGCCCCGGCTCCCTGCTGGGCAGTATCCCCTGGGCACTGTGGCCATGGAGAGGGAGGGCATTTCAGAGGTGACCCTGGAGACAGGGTGAGCAGAGGCATGGCCATGGCACTGTCCAGTGCAGTGGGCATGCCCATGCTTAGTGTCCCTGGGTGGAGGGGCTGGGGAGCAGTTGCTGTGTGGCACTGGTGAGGCCTCTGTTGGGCCCGGGCAGGAGTGCCAGGACCCCACGCTGTCTTTTGCCGGAGCCCCTGCCCGCCGATGGCCCTGTGCCCCTCAACTCCAACCAGCTCCTCTGTATGCCCTGGCACCCTGCTCAGCTCCCTAAAGAATGCAAATTAAGCCGTGACTGCTCCCTTCACCTAGGTGAGGCCTGCATTGTTCCCAAAGAGAGGACAAGGCAGGTGTTGGGGCTGAGGGTATCTGCTCTCCAGTCCTCCCCGGAGAGACCCTCTGGACAAGCCTCGAGGCCAGGGCCATCCCACTCAGGAGTACAGGGGGTGGGGCCCGCAGCCCTCAGGCCAGCCCGGGACCCCAACCCACTGCAGGGGAAACCCCTGCTAAAAGAGATGGGAGATTCCGGCAGGAGGGGCTGGCTCGTGGCCACAGCCTCTCCACCATTCATTCACTCAGTCGCCTGCCAGTCTTCCTGCTCAGCAGGTCACTGGCTGAGGCCCTGCCCAGTGCCATCAGATGAGAAAGCAGCATGAGCTGCGGGTGCCCTGGGCTTGGAGTCGCCTCCCAGAGAGAGGAGGCTGCGGCCCTCCTGTCTGTGGACCTGGGCTTCTCCCCGCCCCCACCCACACGGTTCCGTTAGCCCTGACTGCAGTTCACGGGCCATGCACCCTCAAGGCCAGCAGCTGCAGAATCAGGCCCCAGGATGGCCTGGACTCCCTCCTGAGACTTACAGTCCACCAGGGGCGGGGGGACGGAGCTGTGCCCTGTCATTGGGCTAAGTAGAACTCGGGCGTGGATGGCTGTGCTGGGTCGTCGGAGCTTGTCTGGGCTGTGGGCAAGCGCTGAGCAGACCAGACGGAGGCTTCCAGGCAGGGACGGTTGGTGAGAGCGATGGCAGGAGTGGGCACCAGGACCTGGGAAGCCTTGGAGGCCATGGCGAGGGTCTGAGGTCTGGGGAGTGGGCTGGTGGAGCTGGGCACTTCCCCTGAGCCATATCTGCTGGCTTTCGTCCCCAAGCCCTGCTGTGGAAGTGACGCGAGGCTGTGCCCTCCCTCCTTGCCACTCCTGGGCCAGACTCCCCCAGGACAGAGATGTCCTGCAAAGGGGCAGGGTCAGCTGACCTGATCGCAGGACCCTCCCAGCCCAGGAAGCCGGAGAGACCAGGGACCAGGCCTGCCACTAAGGGGGGGCTTTCAGCAGCACTCGCATGCTCAGTGCTGGAACATTCCCTCACCCCAAGGGAGCCCTGGCCCTGCCAGCCTCCACGCATGGTCCTGCCCTCCGCCCAGCCCTAGCGATCGCTGTTCTGCCTGTAACGCCAGCGTGCACTGAGGCTGGGCATGTCATGCCCACTGCACAGAGGGGCCTCTGCTGCCCACTCCTCTCCCCTGGCGTGATGGCTTTAGGGTCTATCCACGGTGCCTGTTCACACGGTTGGGCAGTCCTCAGCCCGGGGCCCCTCTCCTGGCTTGCCTGGGTCTACATGCTCGGTGGGCACACCACTGGCCCTGAGCCCTGCAGGTGGGCAGAGCTGGAGGGAGTGTGCCACCTGGGGGCCTGCCCAGGCTTTCCCTCCCTCCAGTGTTAGGGCGTGGGGAGCCAGGGTTGGAAAGACACAGGAACATCCTTTTCTGGTTTGGGGTTTGAAGGAGATGGATGGGTGAAGCGAGAAGTAATGAGGGCTGTAGGGACCCCACTGGCTGCCCACTGTGCCTGGGGACCCAGGCTCACTGCCCAGCTGATCACTGCTCCCTGTGTCCCCGAGGACACTGTCGGGTTGGGTCACTTTCTCCTCCAGACCCCTGTCTGCTTGGCTGTGGCCTGGGGAGAGTTCCCGCAGCCTTGGGTGCATCCTTCAACAGACAGCCCACTGCCCTGGTTCAGAGGAACCCCTGTGAGCCCTGGCCCTGCCTTCCGGGAGCTGCTGGGCGAAGCTGGCCTGGGAGGCCCCCAGGGGGCATGCTCACCAGTTCAGGGCAGGGCTGGTCTGTGGGAGCTAGCCTAGGATGGGGCAGCCGTGTCCTGGGGGAAGGGCCAGTCGATGGAGCCTTGGGCCTCCGGGGACTGAGCCCTGCCAGGTGCCCAGCCCTACTGCCTGGCTCAGGGTTTGTGGGTCTCCCCGAGCCTGTGGCTTTAACCTGAGCCACAGCGCCAGGGCTGGGGGCTGCAGCAGGACCTGTGGGGGCGCAGGCTGGCAGGAGTGGGGGTGCTCCTTGCTGGACCCCTGCCCTGTGCTTCGCAGCATCCCGTTCAGGCTGGGTGGCTCCCTGAAACCCTGGCACCCGGGAGCCACATGTGGAGGGGAGCAAGGTGAATATGTCAGTTCATCCCTACGCAAGTAGTGGCCTGTTGGGGTTGCAGGGGGGGCGGGGACGTGTTTGGGATGACTGGTACTGGCTGGCCCTTTAAGGCTGCTGTAACAGGACACCTCCCAGGACGGGACAGCCCGACGTGTGTCTCTCCCCTCCCCTCTCCCCCTCCCCATGCCAGGCCCAGTTCAATCTGCTCGGCAGCACCATGGACCAGATGAGCAGCCGCGGGGCCGCCGCCAGCCCCTACACCCCAGAGCACGCTGCCAGCGTGCCCACCCACTCGCCCTACGCGCAGCCCAGCTCCACCTTCGACACCATGTCGCCAGCGCCCGTCATCCCCTCCAACGCCGACTACCCCGGCCCCCACCACTTCGAGGTCACCTTCCAGCAGTCGAGCACCGCCAAGTCAGCCACCTGGACGGTGAGTCCCGCCCCTCTCCGGACGTGCCTGCTGGACTCAGGTTGGGACCAGGTGGCCGTGTCATCCAGGGCTCCCGACTCAGGACCAGGTGGCCGCGTCGTCCAGGGCTCTGGGCTTGGGGTTGGGAACAAGTGGCTCTGTCGTCCAGGGCTCCCGACTCAGGACCAGGTGGCTGTGTCTTCCAGAGCTCTGAGCTCAGGGCTCGGTACCAGATGACTGTGTCGTCCAGGGCTCCGGGCTCGGGGCTGGGGACCAGGTGGCCGCGTCGTCCAGGGTTCCAGAGGGTAGAATACAACCCCACTCGCTGGCTGCCTGCATGGGGCTCAGCAGGGAGGAGCGACGAGGGTGGGGGGCGGGAGGCGGGTCCTAGGGCTGGGCAGTCTGGGTCTGCCCACTTCTCGGCCTGCGGACCCAGGGGACAGGAGGCAGACACGGACCCCGGGAGTGTCTGCCAGTTCCCCTGCGCCCGGGCTGGGGCTCATTTGAAATGCTTTCCTGAGGGCTCGGCGAGAGGCTGGTGCACGGACGGAGGTGGGAGGGGAGCTGGGGAGAGGTTGGAACTGCTTCCTCCAGGCAGCCACTGGCGGCTTTGGTTATCCATTCAGCATTCAAGGTGTCCGCTATCATGGCTAGAGGAGCAGAGCCGCAGCATGGATGAGGGCTTGGGGTCCAGGAATGGCCAGCTTCAAGGCTGCCCCCCTTGCAGCCCCTGGCCATGGGTGTGGCCCCACAAGCCCCAAGGTGGGGGCCCTCCCTTGCAGCGGAAAGGAAACTGAGGCACGGGAAGGGTGGTGGCCGGCACCCAGTCATGCAGATTGTAGCTGAGGATATTGATGGGGACCCGTAAAGTTACGCCCCGACCACTGAGCTGCCCCCAACCACCGAGCTGCCCAGCCCGTACCACACAAGGGAACAGAGTGCTGCTGGACACGGGCCAGTGGGCGGGAGTGGCAGCCTCAGGGGCCTTCAGGGTCTCCTTGCCTCTCCAAGAAGGCGCCCTCCTGAATGGCCACACTGTGGGTGGATGGCAGGAGGTGTGCCAGGGTGCTCCCTGGCAGGGTGGGCTGACCCCCAACCCCTCCTAGAGTCAGGACCCGTGGAGCGGATTCATCCAAGCTCAGAGCCCTGAGCGCGCAGCGCCCGAAGTTCTTCCCCTTTAAGAACTGGTCCAGGCTTGGTGGGCAAGGTGGGCAGAGCCTAAGGCCCAGGCTGCATCCTGCAGGTGGCCTACTGGCCGCAGCCTCAGTGGGAATCTGGGGTCCACCCCCTGCACTTACTTATCCCTGGTTCCTGCCAGGCGTGGGCTGCCTGCTGTCCCTGCTTTACCTCCCCCCCTCCCCCAGACCGGCAGTGGTCAAGGGAAGGCTCAGCATGGGATGCTAGGGCAACCCAGCCCTGGCCAGAGGTTGAGCACTTCGTGTCTTCCAGGCCCACTCCCTGCAGCTGTCCGCTCTCCTGGCCTTGCCTCTGGCTCCCCAGAGCTGAGCTGAGCAGCCACGGCTCTGGGTGCGGTGTTCCGAGCCATGTTCCCTGATGGTGTTGCAGTGGCTGCACTTGTTCTGGGCTCCCCCAGTCCTCTACTGCCTGTCAAGACAGGGCCCCAGTCTGTCTCCCTACACAGCGACTTGGAGCTGGGGCATCCCATACAACTACATGCCCCTTGTGACAGGGGCCTCACCACTGCTCCATGTTCAAGCCCGCTGTCCTGTGTCCGAGGGGGAGGGGGCAGCCTTGCATCATGAGGGTCCGAGCTGAGACCTGGCAGGTAGCCAGGACGGGGTGGGGGGATCGGCTGCCTCTCGGCAGATGTGGGAGGGTGCCAGTGGGGTTGATGCCATGCCTGGGCACCTGGGGCTCCTCAGGCCATCTGAGCTTCTCCCACCTCCACCTGGGGCTCTGCTGCCCTCCCCCAGATCACCCACACCAGAACCTGACCCGGTGGCCAAGCAGTGGCCCTGGGCACCTGCAGGGTCTCCTTGCTGCCTTGGGCATGCAGGGAGCAGAGGCAGCTGCCTGCGCCCAGGCCCCTCCCCAGCCCTGTCCTCAGGGGGTGGAGGTGGGACCGACATTGATAATGAGATTTTTGGCACCTCAGCTCTCTGGACACAGATCCCTGGGGGCTGCCTTCCTGCCCGAGGAGGGGCCAGCGACACCTGCTCCTGGCCCCCGGGGTCCAGCTTTGCAGGCACTGCCAGCGCTTGCTGCCCCACCCCCACCACACCACCCGCTGGCGACCACTTCTGCGTGGACTGCTGGTCTTGGCTTTCCCACCGGAGCGCGGCGGCTAACCTTGGCCTCTGCGGAGGTGTGCCCTGGCCCCTGTGGCCCATCTGCAACCCACACGCATGCACACGCACAGCACGCGGCTGCACCTCCGTGTGACACACACATACCACACACCAGGTGCCCACGCATGCACATGGGGACACACAGGAACCACGCACCAGACACCTCTTTGCACGTGTCTTATACAGGCCGCACAGGAGGAAGTGTGCCCCGCCAGGAGGAAGTGGGGTGGGTTTATCGTGTGGTACAAACAGGGCACCAGTGGCAGCCAGGCCAGCATGTGGCAGGAGGAAGGGTAAGAGGCAGGATGGAGTTCAGCCGCCCGCTGGACACGGGCCCCTCCGTGGGAGAGCGCGCTGCTGCCTCAGCTCTCAGTGCTCCTCACTGCAGGCGGCGTGCTTGGCAGTGCCGCCACGCTGCTCAGGGCTCCCAGCCAAGGCTGGTCCTGTTCTTGGACCCACTGGAGACAGCAGGGACAGACCACGGGTGTGGGCGAAGGCCTCCAGGTCGTGGGCAGGTGGCCGAGAACCCCTGCCTGGGCTTCCCACTGGTCCCAGGGAGGAAGGATGGGGCAGGGGGCTCTTGTATCCCACGGCCATCCAGCCCTGCTTCTCCGCTTCCTGACCCTGCTTTGCCTTACAGGGAGGGCAGCTGTCCTTGGTGACTGGGAGCCTTGGGCACTGGGCAGAGTTGGGCAACAGGTTCCTTGTGGGGGTCGGAGCTGGCCCGCTCAGGGTCAACAGCCAGCAGGGTGGCTGCCAGGAGCTGTGATGCTGAGCCCCCGGCTGCCCTCGTGTGGCACAGCTGTGATGCTGGGCCTCCAGCTGCCCTCCTGCAGCACAGCTGGCCATGCTGCATGGTGCATGGAATGAGAGTGCCTCCCGCCCTGTGGGTAGGAGCACATGGCAGGCAGGGCGAGAGGAGGTGTTCCCGGGCAGCAGGAGACTGAGTCAGTGTTAATGGATTCAGGAGCAACGTTCCAGCCCCTGGCAGGTCTGCGAGCAGCAGAATAATAGCGGAGGTGTCCCGACACGATCGTGGTATCAACTGCGTTATCCCCCACGTTTATGGAATGCATAGGAGGAATTAATATCCTTTACTGGCACCGGGAGCAATTATGTGTGTTTAAAGGCAAGGGAAGCGTTCTAACGATGCCGATGGTGGAGCTGAAGCGTGGATTATTGGGGGGAAATTGCTCACATTGTACCCAGTGGCCCCGGGTGGTGTGAGCCCAGCCTGGGCGGCCAGGGACGGCAGGACTCAGCTCAGGAGGCCCAGCTCCAGCCCTGGGTCCTGGCCAAAGCGTGGACTCACAGGGTGGCCACCCATTGGGCCTGGCCACCTCCTCGCACGGCCTGGATCTTGTGTGGGCGGCAAGGAGCACGGAGGAATGCACCCTGCCCTGGGACAGGGGGTGATGGGACCTGGTGCCGCGTGCATGGCACTCAGATGGAGCCAGCTCTGCCATCCAGGGCCACGCAGGGCAGTGCCACGGTGCCACCTAAAAGCCTTGCTGTGTGTTGGCCCTGTGGCCATGAGGCGGGCAGTGAACACATACTCTCCAGCCACTCGTTTTCCGGATGGGGAGGCCCAGGTCATCCCGCGGCAAAGTGCCGAGCTGAGTCTGATGTCCACCTTGGACCCACCGTCTGTGTACCCTGGCTGCAGCCTGGCACCTCCTGTCTCCGTCTCCAGGACAGCTCTCTCTCGCTCTCTCTCGCTCTCTCTCGCTCTCTCTCGCTCTCTCTCCCCTCCATCACTGCTCTTAGTTCCTGGGGCCGGGGGGACAGTCTCTGGGACTCTAGGGGTCCCGGGTGGGCCAATGATAAGAGGGGGTTGACCTCTTAGGCTACACCCACCTTGACCTAACCCTCCTGTTTGTATCGGCAGTGGCAGGTGCCACCTGCCCTGTGTGGACAAAGGAGACATCACCTTGACACTTTTCACAGTGCCACCCTAGCACCAGTGTGCGCTGAGCCTGCCGAGCCTGGCTGACCCTACGGACCCAACCCATCTCCGCCAGCTACGCTGCATGGCAGGGACTGGGAGGTGCCCCGGCTTCTTCCAGGTCACACCCCGAAAGAGCAGGGCCGTGCAAGGCTCTAGGGCCGGCCGGTGGCTCACTGCTGCTTGTAAGCTGGGGGTAGTGGGGAGCCGCGGAGGCCAGCAGTGGGCAAGCCCATGGGCAGATCACTGGCATGGCAGGCGTGAGGCACATATAAGCTCAGAGCCCCCCGAGGAAGGACCTGCACCCTGCAGTGCCACCCTTGGGCCATGCCAAGTCTGGCTGGTACCGTCCAGGGGAGAGCAAATGCTTGGTGCCGAGGCTGCGGCCCCAGGCCTGGCCCTGGGGGGCTCTGGTGTGGGGCTGGGGGGCAGGGGTTTCTGATCCTTTGCCGGGTTCACTGAGAACTTGGGCTCCAGCCAGGAGCCCTGCACGTGTCCACAGCTCGGCTCTCCTCTCCTCGATGGGGTCTGGGTACCCGCCTGAGACTGCCCCCGGAGGCTGCTAGAAGGAGCTGGGCCACCGATGCCCGGCAGCTCGGCCTTGTGGGCGTGCATGTTTGAGTTTGTGTATGTGCTTACATGTGGACGCATGTGTGAGTGTCCATGTGTATGCCCAGCCACGGAGCCCGGTGAGGTAGCTGCTGGTGGAGGTCCAGGGCTCCTTGCAGCCCATTCTGACCCCCAAAGACCCACAGCACTACCCTGCCACTCGCCCAGGGCAGTTCCTCCTCCTGGCCCGGCGGCTGAGCGAGTGGCCAGGACCCTGCTGGCCACCTGCCATGTGTGGGCTCTGCAACTGGCATTCTGGGCTGGGCCTGACATGGAGACTGTCCACCCAACATCTGCGCAGGCCACCTCCCCTCCCAAGTGGCCACTCCGCCCTGCAGACAGCTGAGCTCATCTTGATGTCCGCTGTCAGGGGAGCCATCTCCCCGGCTGGACTGCAGGGTCCTCCTGTCCCTCGGCTCAGGGAGCCCGCCCCTGCAGGTGCCAGTTACCAGTCCTCGGTGGGTTCCTCAAGCTGGAGTCTGGATTCCCACCTTCTCCCTGGCTCTGAGTTCGCTGATAGCTCAGGGGACACAGGAAGTGCTGTGGCCCCCAGGGTGGCCATGGGGCTGCAGAGGACGGGGACACGTGGGCAGCATGCCGACCTCACACCTCGTGCTCAGCTCCCAGGAGCTGCTGATGCTTTGGGATGTTAGGAAGGGTGGTCGGAGACATCGCTGGCCTTCAGGAGCTCCTTCCTCTCCACCCAACCTCCCGCTGTAAACCCCTCCCCTTTATTCAAGCTTTGGTCTGTCTGGCAAGCAGCTCCTTAGCCCCCAAGAAGGCACCCCACACCCCACGCAACAGTCCAGGGACTGGGGGTGTTATGTGACAGGAAACTGGGGCCCGGTCTCCTGGCATCACAGGGCAAAGGGCCTGGCCAGGTGTTGCTGGCACAGCCCGGTTGTGGCTCCCTGAGCCCACACTCCGGGGGCTGAAGTGGGGAGGGGTAGCGTTAGGGCTGGCAGGCGGTGACCCAGGGGCAGACGCAGGGCAGGGCTGTCCAGGGAGGGACCACTCTGTCCACCTCAGCTCTGGGCCCAGGGCTCTGGGGGTGGAGCACACAGCGCCCCCATGTCCAGCTAAGATGCCTGCTGCCCCCGACACCGCCCCAATTCTGTCCAGCATGACCCCGGGAGCTGTGCCGTTGTGAGCCCCGTGGCCCGGGCGTCTCCCAGCTTCCGGGCCTCAGGGAAGGGGCCAGCTACCCAGGGCCTCCCAGAGAGCCCCATGTGGCTCTTGCCTGCCTGTCTGGCTCGGGGTGTTAATGAGCCAAGCTGCTCCGTGCCCAGGGGTGCCCTAGCTTAGCCCATCTCTCCCCCGGGACAATTTCCACCCCCTCCACACTGGTGGTCAATGGTCAGGCCTGAAGAATTGACCTCACACTCGTCTCCCACCCTGGTGCCAGCTGGGTAGACACTTGATGGGTCACACGTTGGCTTGGCCTGGGGACGGGTCTGTTGGCTGTGAGCTTCGGCTCGACTCCAGGCTGGGGGCTCCCTGGGGAGGGGACCTGTCTTCTCTGACGTCTGTCGGAGCCTGTCCCCCAAGCACCCGGCAGCTTGGTGCCAGAAGATGCCAGGGACAGCGGTGGAAAAAGGCGCTGGCAAATGAGGGGTGGACTACCCAAAATTGCAAGGGACCCGTGGGGGCCGTGGTGGGCTTTGCAGAGTAGGCTGTGAGCCTGTCCAGGTCACGCCAGGGTCAGCTCTGGGAGTTTGTGGGCAGGGGGTGTCCGTGGCGTGGATATGGCTTAGAGCCTCGCACACGCGCGTGCACACATATGCACGGGAGGCGGGTAGCTGCTGCACAAAGCCGTCTGGAAAAGCGGCGTGGCACGGCAGGCCCGTCCCCAGCATCTGTTGTAACAGATTCACCGGGCTGGTTAACGGTATTTGCGGTTTGCAAGAAGCTACATGTCCCGGGAAAATGACGGACAACTTATTATCACTTCTTCGCTGTCCTCCTGCCCAAACCTGCCCGTGCCAGGCACCCAGCTGCCGGGGAGCGAGAAACCTACGGCCCCCGTGCCCGGCCCCCACCTCCTCGCCCCCGCCCATCCCTGGCAGCCGGGGCACCCAGCCAGGCCCGGTCCATCTTGGACCAGGTGGGGAGGCGAGGAACAGCTGGGGGTTTGGGCAAAGCACTTGCCGCGAGCAGACGGAATACACGCATCCCGAGCAGGCAAGTCCAGGCGGCTGCGTGTCAACAGCCGAAGATAAACAGGATTTTATCGGCTCCGAATCTGTTGAAACACATCCATCTAGCGGTCCAAGGAGGCAGGAGGCGGCGTGGCCCCGAGGCCAGGGAGTCCTGCAGCCCAGAGGGTCCGCGGGGAAGGAGCTGGCCTCTAGCCAGGGGCACTCATGCCTCCCTGGACTCAGCTGTGCCAGCTAGAGGCCCCTGGTCAGGCTGGGCAGCCCTGGTACAACCTACCCCGAGGGCCACAGGAGCAGTGGGCCGGGGGGAATCCCCGAGGGGACCAAGGCATTCTGTGGGGTGTGGAGTGGATAGAGCAGGGGCTAGGATCTGCCCAGGCTGGGCAGCTTGCCCCTCAGCCCTGAGTCCTGGTATCCAGCTGCATGCTGGGTGCCAGGACAGTCCGTGGCCACCAGGCTCCCCTGGGGCAGGGCGTCTGCTTGACCCCCCATCCCCGTGGCTTCTGGCCTGACCGTGTGCCTTTGGCTTTCCTAGACCTTCTGGGGCTGCAGGTAGCTGCCCCTGCCTGTCCAGCCCTAGCCCAGGCCCCCAACCTCTGCCTGCTCCCCAGGCCATGGAGCCTGCTCCACAGCCACTACCTCAGGCTGCAACGCATGAAGTGGGGGCCCACTGCTGCTGCCTAGGCAAGTGGACAAGAAGACCAGCCAGCATGGAGTGGGGTGTGAGAGGAAGGAGAAGCGGTCCTGGGGGAGGGGACGAGGGGTTTTGCCACCAGGGCCAGGGGCTGGCAGTGTCTCCACCTGGGGCGCACCTGCTCCAGTGGGGGCTTGGTTCTGTCCTGTGGGGTTGGGGTGCAGGGGCCTAGGCAGCATCCCCTCCCCTCAACAGGTGAGGACCATGCCCACGGGCTCGTCACACCACAACCCATCCTGCACAGCTCATGCACAAGGACTCACCTCTTAGGCCGTGGGCTGCAGCACTGGCTGGGCGATGCCACAACATGGCTAACCTTGGGTAGGGAGGGCAAGGGGGGCCTGGGAGCCCGTTGGAGTCCCTCCTCACCCCCACCCTCTGCAAGCTGTAGCTGCCCCAGCAGGGAGCAGGTACTGCCTTGCCCAGGGGTGGCCATGGCACAGTGAGGATGTACGTGGGGCAGGCTGCCCAGCTCCAAGGGTGGCTCCAGGGGAAAGGCCACCAAGTACGTCCACCACCCCCACCCCCAGCCTGTTCTGCCCGGATTGGCCGGTGGCCCAGCCAGCCACAGGTTCTCAGCAGACACTGACCTAGCTCCTTGCATGGGACAGTGGAGCTGCCCAAGGCGGGACATGCTCTGAGGACTTTGTGTGTGAGGCCAGTGGACTGGGCTGTGCTCTGGACTGGTGGCTGGGGCCCTGGCACTTACGTCCCTGGACCTGGGAAGGCCGCAGGAGTGTGCGATGAATGGGTCTGGCTGAATCCCAGCTGCACACAGCAGACACGTGACTGCCGAGAGATGGCGCGGTGGTGCCAGCCCCCCACCTTCCCCAGGGCTCTGCACACAGTAGGTGCTGTGTAAATGCTTGGTAGCTGTCCCGGGGCCTCAGAGATGCCTTGGAACCTCCTTCTGCAACCCTGGCCCTGTGTCCTCGTGTGAACACCTGGCTCACCCCATCCCTGCTCCTTCCTGTCCCCAACAGGCTGAGATGGAAGCAGGCTGCCAGGTGCCTCCTTGAGAAGCCAGAGGCCCAGCCCAGGGTGCTGGCACCAGGAGCCCATGTGCCCATGAGCCCAGGACACTGGGAGCCCGCAAGCCCAGGGACAGGGCACCCAAAAGCCATGGGACCACCACCTCAGCTAGGAGGGGCTGCAGCCCTGAGCTGGACCACCGCCTCAGCTAGGAGGGGCTGCAGCCTGAGCTGGTGCCTCTGCCAGGACTGAGGCAGCTCTCCTAAGGCTATTTCTTGCATTTGATTTTGTTTGAGTGTTTTATTGATTTATTCTCATCTGCTTGAAAAACTTAGCAAAGAGGGAATCTTCGAGTCTGGCTCACTCCCCCGATGATCACAGCTCGGCTGAACGCAGCAGCGTGGGGTCCCACTCGGTCTCCCGTGTGCGAGCTAGAGACTCACGCGTCCTGAGCTGGCACCTGCTGCCTCCGGGCTGCAGCCGAGGGAGCTAAGCAGAAAGCCCAGTAGCTGAACTCAGCCTGCTGCACCACTTCACCGGTCCCATCTCCCTGCACTCTGAACTCGGGGTGTGCTGCACACACAGAGGCCCCGGGGGAGGCAGCCCGCTCGGGAGGCCCAAGTGGTCCCGAAGGCCTGGGTCTCCGGACTGGACACCAGGGCAGGAAGGGCATCCCGCGGGGGGCGGTGGATAGGATGCTGGGGCCGTGGTCAGAGCCCCCAACAACAGCGGCCGGCGACTCTGGGACTCCCCAAGCCAACACGGTGTCCTGTCCCTGGGCCGCCCCTGCCAGAGCCTGCCCCCTCACCCCAGCAGCTCCCCGGGGAAGTCGAGGCATGGGGATACAGCAAACCCACCCCTTTCCAGGGCCATTGGGTGAGTAGGGTGGCTGGTGGTGGGGCCTGCCCGGCTGCAGCCGCTCCCCGCCCCCCGGCACCTCCTCCCCGCATTCCTGGCCTTCCCTGATCTCTCCCATGACGTGGACAGCGTGGTGGCTCTCTGGTGGCTGCCCGGCTGCCGAGGTCCCTGGGCAGGGCTGGGGCTCCCATGGGGGCTCCTGCGGACTGCCCGCTCCCCTTCTCCTGCAGTACTCTCCGTTGCTGAAGAAACTGTACTGCCAGATCGCCAAGACGTGCCCCATCCAGGTCAAGGTTTCCAGCCCGCCACCCCCTGGCACCGCCGTCCGAGCCATGCCTGTCTACAAGAAGGCTGAGCACGTAACCGACATTGTGAGACGCTGTCCCAACCACGAGCTGGGCAGGGACTTCAATGAAGGTGGGCCGTGGTCCCCGCCTGACAGTGCCCTGGCCGACTGTCCTCCCTGCCCGGTCTCCCCAGCTGATAGTCTCCTGGGCTTCCCCAGAAGCAGGTGCCTCATCTAGGCCCTTCCTCCCTGCCAGTGATGAGCAGCAGGTCTTGGGGGGCTGGGAGGAGGTGAGGGCACCGTTGGGCCTTCTGGTACGAGGGGAGCCTGTGGGCACCCAGGTTTCCCCAGGGTGCCTGGCGAGGCCTTGAGCTCCTCTGGGTTTAGCAGGGGACCTGGGCAGCAGAGCCCAGGGCCGAGGGCTCCGGGGCTGCCAGCCAGCCTGGGGCTCACTGGGGCAGTGACGTGCAGTGGGCGCCTCCTGAAGCAGCTCCCCTCCCGGCAGGACAGTCGGCCCCGGCCAGCCACCTCATCCGCATAGAAGGCAACAACCTGGCACAGTACGTGGACGACCCCGTCACGGGCCGCCAAAGCGTCGTGGTGCCCTACGAGCCGCCCCAGGTAGGCAGGGCACCCCCCTGGGACACGCTTGCTGCACATCTGCTGGTCCCAGGGCCCTGCCCTCCTGGCCCGGACTAGGCTATGGTGGGCAAAGGCCCTCTGTTGGCCACCTAGACCCCAGCTCTGCCAAAGCAGCCAGGGCCGTGGGTGTGGGAAGGTCAGGTCACAGCCTCATGGGAACAGAGACTTCCACTCAGCTGAGAGAGGCAGGCCGGCAGGGGCCTGGAGGTGGGGTGCAGGTCAGAGTGCTGGCTGGAAGTGGGGTGCAGGCTGGAGGTGGGGTGCATGCTGGGGGTGGGGTGCAGGCTGGAGGTGGGGTGCATGCTGGAGGTGGGGTGTGGGTCAGAGGTTAGGGTGCTGGCTGAAGTGGGGTGCAGAGGTCTGGCCAGGAGAGGCTGAGCATTCTGCCCTGGACCCACTTTCAGCGCCACAGCCTCCATTCCCAGCTCATGTGAGGCACTATAGGAATGCACTCCTGGGTGCAGGGGGCAGCCTCGGGACTGTGGGGGTTGAGAAGGGAGGGGCTGGGACAGGAGGCCGGCGAGACGCTGCCCCAGGACCCCCTTCCCCAGGGCTGGGTTTGACGGGAGCCTATGGTTCCTGCTCACTTCCCACCCCGCCTGCTGGGTCCTGGAAAGCGAGGCTCTCCCGCCCTCTGGTGGTGGTTCCAGGAAAGGCTGCTGTCCTCCCGCTCCAGTCCACATCCTGAGCCAGAGAGCAGGACCCGGTCCCCACTTGTGTTTGCAAGAGGCCCAGAGGCCCAGGTTCCCCTGTCGGCTCTGCCACAACCCCTGGGAATCAGACTGTCAGGGGTCCGGCAGCTCTGGCCAGCACTCGCAACCCTTTGCCTAGAGGGACCCAGGTGTGCCCAGTAGGTGTCATTATCAGGGCCTTGTGCACTCATGCGCGGCTTCTGGCATCTGGCACTGACCGTGGGGCTCTGTGTTGCCCTGGGAGCAGACAGTGGGTCAGCTTCCCCCTTGGGTCCAGAGCCAGCACAGCACCCACTGCCTGACATGTGCCTGGGTGACAGGGTGGACAGATGGTGGGTGGTTGTACAGGATGGTGGGTGGATGGGCAGATGGGTGGTGGGTGTGTAGCTGCCCCTACGTCAGTACACGCTGACGCCCAGGCCTCCTTCGGCCTCTCCTGTACAGGTGGGGACAGAATTCACCACCATCCTGTACAACTTCATGTGTAACAGCAGCTGCGTCGGGGGCATGAACAGGAGGCCCATCCTCATCATCATCACCCTGGAGACCCGGGAGTGAGTGGGGGGAGACGGTGGGCGGGGAGACGGCAGGCATGATAGAGAGCAGAGATGGTGGGGGCGGGCCTGGGGTGCTCAAGGGGTGCTGTGTTAGTGACCTGAGGCAGAGGCCTGCAGGCCTGGCTTCCATCCCAGAGGAGCTGATCCTCTGGCTGGGTCGGGTTTGGGAAGCCTTGGCTCACGTCTGGGACCCCTGGCCTCACTCTCCGGCCCGTCGAGGCCCGTCCAAGGGTCCGAGGTGGGCAGGGGCTGAGCCCCGGAGCTCAGTGTGTGCTGTACCTGCCCGACAGCGGGCAGGTGCTGGGCCGCCGCTCCTTTGAGGGCCGTATCTGTGCCTGCCCTGGCCGAGACCGCAAAGCCGACGAGGACCACTACCGCGAGCAGCAGGCCCTGAGCGAGAGCAGCGCCAAGAACGGGGCGGCCAGCAAGCGTGGTGAGCAACGTGACCACCAGGGTGCTGGGGGAGCCCCCAGGATGGGGCCACCCGCCCCCAGGCCACAGGGGCTGGGACACAGCCAGGGTGCTGGGGGAGCCCCCAGGATGGGGCCACCCGCCCCCAGGCCACAGGGGCTGGGACATGGCCAGGGTGCTGGGGGAGCCCCCAGGATGGGGCCACCCGCCCCCAGGCCACAGGGGCTGGGACATGGCCAGGGTGCTGGGGGAGCCCCCAGGCCACAGGGGCTGGGACACGGCCAGGGTGCTGACAGGAGCCCCCAGGATGGGGCCACCCGCCCCCAGGCCACAGGGGCTGGGACACGGCCAGGGTGCTGGGGGAGCCCCCAGGATGGGGCCGCCCGCCCCCAGGCCAGCAGGGCTGGGACACAGTGTGAGCCTGTCTGGGGGACACAGGTCATGTAATTCCAGAGCCTCAGGCCCAGGACTTCTCCCAGGCCCTGACCTGGGTCCAGCACCCAGGGTCAGGGTCCATGGGCTGCACACACGGGAGGCCCGGTTCCCGGGGGGCAGGGAACAGGTGTCCCCCACTGCCCAGCTGCCCTGGCTCCTCCCATGGTTCAGCTAGCCCTCCCTGCCCACCCACCAGCCTTCAAGCAGAGCCCCCCTGCCATCCCGTCGCTGGGCCCCACCGTGAAGAAGCGGCGACACTGTGATGAAGACTTGTACTGCATGCACGTGAGTGGGGCAGGCCGCAGGCAGGCGGGAGGCGTGCCCGGCCAGCGGGCAGCTCTGAGGCCAGCCAGCCAAGCACGGTGGGGCAGGGGCGTGGGGCTTCAGAAAGCCCACTGGAAGCACGTGTGCTGGCAGGAACCACGCGAGGACCTCAGCAAACACCTGCCCCACTAGGAGCTTTTCATTCCCTGTTGGTTCAGGGTTTCTGCAGTGCCTTTGTGGGTGCCGCCTTGGCAGTGGGGTCTGAGTGTGGGTCCAGGGCAGGGGGTTCAGTGGGGCAGGAGAAGGGGCTCAGGGAGCCCCCCAGGAGGGTGCAAGCAGCCAGGTGTCCTGTGCTGTGTGTCCAGGTGCGCGGCCGGGAGAACTTCGAGATCCTGATGAAAGTCAAGGAGAGCCTGGAGCTGATGGAGCTGGTCCCGCAGCCGCTGGTGGAATCGTACCGGCAGCAGCAGCAGCTCCTGCAGAGGCCGTGAGTGCGCCGGCCGGCAGGGGGCGGCAGGCGGGGGGGGGGCACCTCTGAGCGCTGGGGCGAGGAGGCGCGCCTCCACTCCCTGCCATCCCTGGGCTTGAAAGCAGGGGTGGAGAGGCTTGCTGGGGTGGAAGCCGCTCTGTGCTGTGCCTGGGAGGTGAGGGGTCCCCCCACAGTCCCCCGGGGCTGGGGGCTTCCGCAGAGGCGTCCCAGTGGGGTGAGGTGCCAACGTGTTTGCTGTTCCCAAGCAGGAGCCACGTGCAGCCTGCATCCTACGGGCCTGTGCTCTCGTCCATGAGCAAGTCGCATGGGGCCCTCGGCAAGCTGCCCTCGGTTAACCAGCTGGTGGGCCAGCCTCCCCCGCACAGCTCAGCGGCCGGGCCCAACCTGGGGCCCATGGGTAAGTCCCCGGGCTGTGGAGAAGGCCTAATTCTAGATGTTTCTGCTAGGCCCAGGACCCATGGGCCATACTCCTGTTGGCTGCCTGACTGCAGCAGTGGGACATGGCCATGCACTCCGGGGGGTCGGGGGTGACCCTCGCTCATGGGCCTGCACCTGCTCTTGGCGGCTGGAGGGGCTTGCGGGGGGCAGGGTCCTTACCCTCACACGGTCTGCATGTTGCCATCAGCAGACTTTCTTGCAATGGGTTAATGACACAAGGCCCCACCAGGGGCCCCACAGAGGTGGCATTTGGGACTTTTAGTCCTGGAAGATCCTCCTGAGGGTGCAGGTGGACCTCACGGCCCCTGGCTGGCTGTGGGAGTGCCCAGCTCTCCTGGCACCTGGAGCTTGGTCTCTGTGACAGCCTTGCTGCCTTCCTGTCCAGGCCCAGGGATGCTTGGCACCCACGGCCACGCTGTACCGGCCCACAGCGAGATGAACGGCAGCCACAGCTCCCAGTCCGCGGTTTCGGGGTCCCACTGCACCCCACCACCACCCTACCATGCCGACCCCAGCCTCGTCAGGTATGTAGGACACCGCCAGCCCCGGCTCGTGCTGTCCCCCTGTGCACTAACCCCGGGGGCTCCTGCCCCGTCCCCTGTGTCCCGAGGGAGCTGCAGCTTTGCCCCAGAGGGAGAGGGCGGCCAGGAAGCCCAGCCGGGCCAGCGCCCAGCCCGCCAGGAGGATGTGCAGCCGGGCCAGTGCCCAGCCACCAGGAGGATGTGCAGCCGGGCCCTGGACAGGCACCGCGGCTGCATGTCTGAAGCCTTCTCTGCAGTTTTTTAACAGGACTGGGGTGCCCCAACTGCATCGAGTATTTCACCTCGCAGGGCTTACAGAACATGTACCACCTGCAGAACCTAACGATAGAGGTAACTCCCACCCCACAGGGCCAGCGGGGCCCTGGCCGCGCGTGGTCGGCTGGCGCCGGCAGCCAGGCACAGCGAGCCAGAGCACGCATGCACCTGCCTGGCCCGCAGAGGCAGGCGGCCAGACAAGCACAAGCAGACGCACAGGGCCGGCGGGCGTTCCAGTGGTCTAGATGCTGGTCCCAAGAGACGTGCTGGTGTCCTGGGCCACTGCAGCTCATGACAGTCTCAGCCAGGGGACACACAAGAAGCCCAGATCTCGGGAGCAGGGCTCTAATTCGTGCTTCGCAGCACCCTGCAGCCCCACTCCCCAGCTAGAGGCCCCAGCCCCCAGTCCAGGGGTACAGGCTCGAGATGGGAGTTTTCCAGAGGGAGCAGGGGCCAGCTGCAGCTCGCTCCGAGTGTGGCCATGTCTGTGTGTTCACTAACCTCCCTCCCCTACACCAGGGGCGGACGCCCAGGGTGTGGTTGGCTTGCTCTTCCGGTCTGGTGGTGTGGCATGTGCGGGGCGTGATGGCAGGGTGGGGGACAGGCGGTGAAGAGGAGCTGTGATGGACGTTCCTCTCTCCCGCTCCGCACCGCCCCAGAGTGGTTCCTGTGGAGGGCAGGCGGGCGGGCGGACCCCCTGCTCCGCCCACGGTGGTCCTGGGCTCTTGCAGGACCTGGGAGCCTTGAAGATCCCCGACCAGTACCGCATGACCATCTGGCGGGGCCTGCAGGACCTGAAGCAGGGCCACGACTGTGGGCAGCAGCTCCTGCGCTCCAGCAGCAGCACGGCCGTGGCCATGGGCAGCTCGGGCCAGCGCGTCATGGAGGCTGTGCACTTCCGCGTGCGCCACACCATCACCATTCCCAACCGCGGCCCCGGCGCCCCGGCGGGCCCCGACGACTGGGCCGACTTCGGCTTTGACCTGCCCGACTGCAAGGCCCGCAGGCAGCCCATCAAGGAGGAGTTCGCGGACGCCGAGAGCCACTGAGCAGGGCCTGGCCGCCCCCTGGCGCCGCGCGCGCCCCGCACGAGCCGCCCCGGCAGGCAGGACCTCCGGGCGCCGTTCCCAAGAGGACACTGGGGCCCCGTGGACAGCGGACGCCCGCCGCCTGGGCCTCAGGAGCGTGCCTAGGGACACGGGGGACACCGGGTGGCCGTCCGCGTGTGCGAGGAGCCCTCTGCGTGGCCTTCCTGAGGGACCCAGCGCGAGCCTTCCGCCTCGGGGGTCGCCCTGTGCCGAAGGAGCGGCCTGGACAGCAGGTGCAAGGGGTCGGCTGCCTGGTTCTGGCCCCGCCCCCTCTTCTGTGGGCAGGAGCTGGGGTGGCCTCTGCTGGACCTGAGGACCCCTCCGTGTTCCCAGCTGCTCCCACACCGCGGTGGCCATCTGTTGTCCATCCAAAGCAAGAAGCCACGTTTTGCTGGAGTTGGAGGAGGACACGGCTCCATCAATCCGAGCCTGAGCGCCCCGCAGCAGCGTGAGAACCATCCCCCAGCCCTGCCCCCGGGTGCTAGCGGGCACCCCCAATGCGTCCCCCCAGTCCTGCCCCCACGTGCTGGCGGGCACCCCCAACGCGTCCCCCCAGCCCTGCCTCTGAGGTGCTGGCGGGGGCACCCCTCGGGGCCCCAGCACGCCAATCTTTGATAAAACCATACCCTTTTCTATGTGGTGAGTCGGCCTTGTTTGTGGTTCTGTTCAAGTGTTCTCCATCACATTCTGGCTCTGTGTATGTCTGCGTCTGGATGGGCGGTGGGCAGAGACGGCTGAGTGATGGGCAGGGCAGGGCCAGCTCTTGCCCTAGGACCGCTGGGTGAGAGCATACCCTGGCAGGGCCTCGTGCATGGCAGAACCGGCGTGCTGGGCTGTGGGGGCTCCACTGTGCTCCCACGGCCACATTTGTGGGAAGGGTCAGCGGCTGACCCTCAGACCATCGGGGCCCAGGTCCTGGACCTGCCCCCTCCTTCCTGGGGCCACCCTGGGCCCTGGTGCCCCAGCAGAGGCAGATTTTCCATCCACTGGTTTATCCCCTAGAGGGTCACACAGTGCCCAGGCCCAGGCAGAAGGCAGGACAACTCCAGCTGGGTGTCCTCTATGGGCACAGGGCCCGGGGGCTGGTCTTGCCTCCACAGCTCTCCCAGGCACATTAGCAAGGAGCTGGATCAGAAGTGGAGCAGCCAGGACCAGCTCAGATGGGTCACAGACGGTGGCTTAACCCGCTGTGTTCCGTCTCCCGATGTGTAGTTTACAGATGAGCTGGCCCTGCCTTTTCTCTGGGTGCCCTGGGTGCCCTGGGCAGGAGTGTTTCTGCCGGCTGACTGCTCAGGGCTGGACAGGTGCGTCCTGTACCTCCGCTCCCTTGGCTTGACCCCAGTTCTGGCTTTATTCCCTCATGTAGCGTCCACACGTGTACGTGTCGGAGCAACAGTCATGGGGGCTGCTGCTCGTGCTGCCCACGGGGGAGACCCACCGTGAGGCCTTCTGGGTGCTGCCAGATGGAAATGCTGTATAAAAAGAAACTCCATGTTGCAGGCCAGGCGTGGCCATGTCCCAGAGGGCTTTGTCCCATGGGGCCACGGGGCAGGAGGCTCCCCAGGGGCACCGGCAGCCAGGGCATATGGTAACTGATTGCCACGGGCACCAGGCTCAGGCAGGTGGGGACGCAAGCTTGAGCTGCCTCGGGCTGCCAGCGTCATCCCGTAGCAGAGCCGGTTCAAGTCCCAGCGACTCCGCTTCCCATCCAGGATTCTGCTAACACATCCGGGCCGCAGCAGGTCATGCCCGGGTCCCCAGGCTCCTGCCACGCACACGGGAGATCCTGGTGGGTCGACAGCTGCGGGGCCCCTTCTGGCCTCACCCTGGCAGGCATTTGGGGGTAAGGCCTCAAGAGGCCCCTCTCTGTAGATAGATATTAGAACTTAACAAAGACACGGGTTAGAAACGAGTGGATGGGGAAAATACAATATGAAATGGTATCCTAAGAAGATGGATACTCGTCCTGCTCTCAGAGGAGTGGCACTGCGCGGCAGAGAGGCGGGGTGTCTTACACGCATGCACCCCAAAACACCGACAGGCAGAAGCTCAGAATCAGACGGAAAGGAGGTGACTCCCAGGTCGCGGCTGCAAGATCTGAATCTTTCCCATCGCACCCCCACCTCAACGACACGGGGCAGCGAGAGGGCATTCGGCACGTTGTCAAGAGCCGGCCCGGATGCCCACTCCCATCGTGGTTTGAGTCCCGGCTCTGCTTCCCACCCTGCCGCCTGTGCACGCGTGCGTGGGCAGCAGATGGTGACAAGCACTTGGTCCCGGCCACCCACAGGGACGACTCGGATGGCATTCCTGGCCCCTGGCTTTGGTCCAGCTTGGACCAAAAATGCTGGGCATTTGTGCAGTGACCGAAGAAGTAAACAAACAAGCAGATAGAATGAAACAGCAAACCCCGCAGTGAGAGCGGAGCGGCTGTCGCTGTCCGGGAGTGTGTCGCTGCCTCTCAGCCCGGTGCTCCTGCACCTGTGGCACCTCTCCCCTGGGTGCGGGTCACCCCCGGGCATGGGGGTGAGCACAGAGGGACGAGGGGAGACCAGGCAAGCCCCCACACCATCAGCCGCCACGGAGGTGATGCATGAAGATTTTCTCTGCAGTTACTTGTTGCTGCGGAGTCACACTGCCAGCGCTGGGAAGCAGCCGAGACCACCGGCGGGTGCAGGGGTCTTCACACGCAATCCGGAAGACCGGATGTTCACATGCAAATTGGAACTCAAGAGGGACCCCAGAACCCGGCAGGAGGGCTGGAACTTAGCGCCTTTCAGGAGCAAATGGAACGCATCTTCCAGAAAACAGGCCCAGCAATGGTTTCTTAGACACCGGGCAGGAAGTGTGCAGCATGCGTGTTTTCAAGAACACCCCTGTCAGCGTGGAACTTCGGCCCACTGAGAAGGCACTGCCAGCCAGGATGGCCCACAGCCTCTCGCAGGGCTGGTGCTGCGGTGCAGTGGGTTAAGGCATCACGCACTGCCAACATCCCATACGGGTGCTGGTTCCAGTGTCGGCTGCCCCGCTCACAACCAGCTCCCTGCTTGGCCTGGGGAAGCAGCAGAGGTGGCCCAAGTGCTTGGCCCCTGCTCGTGGGAGACCCAGGGGCAGCTCCTGGCTTCAGCCTGGCCCAAACCCGGCTGTTAGGGCCGTTTGGGGAGTGAACCAGCAGACGGAAGATCTCTCTCTCCCCAAGTCCCCTCTCTGTAACTCTGCCTTTAGAACAAATACAAGTAAGTCTGCAGGGAGCCAGCGCCTTGGCATAGCATGTTCAACCTCACCTGTGGAGCTGGCGTTCCGACTGGGCACCAGTTCACGCCCTGGCCGTCCCGGTTAAGGCCTGGGGAGGCAGTGGAGGATGGCCAGGTTCCAGGGCTGTACTCCCATGTGGGAGACTCGGAAGAAGCTCTCAGCTGCTGCGTTCCTCGGGGCTCAGCTCTGGCCGCTGCGGTCCTTTGGGGAGTAAACCAGCACATGAAGGTCTCTCTCATACTCTGCTTTTTAAAGGAAGAAAAATACATCTTAAAAAGAAAGCTTTTCACATTTAACTCACATGCAAATTTGAAAGTGAGCCAGGAGATGGCAGGACATGGAAAGCCCTGGAATACTGCCCATGGCCGGCAAAAGGCAAGGGAAAGCCATGGGGCGTGCACGAGCTCACCCCGCTGCAGCCAGCGTCCGCAGGGAAGTGCAGCCCAGCCCAGGAGGCCAACGGTGCATGTGGATGGCCACGTAGAACGGCTATGTCCTCGAGCCTCTGAGCCGTGTGGCTAGAGGTGGCTGTGGTGTGGCAGGGTCAGGTCTGCAATGTCAGCTGACAGGTCCCATGGCAGTGTGCAGGGCCCCTGGGCAGCATGCAGGGCCCCATGGCAGTGTGCAGGGCCCCATGGCAGTGTGCAGGGCCCCATGGCAGCATGCAGGGCCCCATGGCAGCGTGCAGGGCCCCATGGCAGTGTGCAGGGCCCCATGGCAGCATGCAGGGCCCCATGGCAGCATGCAGGGCCCCATGGCAGCGTGCAGGGCCCCATGGCAGCGTGCAGGCCCCATGGCAGCGTGCAGGGCCCCATGGCAGCGTGCAGACCCCATGACAGCATGCCTGGGTTCAGGACTGGGCTCTGGTCCACCAGTGTCCTGTTCCCGCAGCCTGGGAGGCAGCTGTGACTGCCCAGGCACTCGAGTCCCAGCCTCTCATCCACTGGGGAACCCTCTGTGGACCCTGCCCGGCTCCAGGTACCACAGGCACTTGGGGTAGGGTGCAGGGGTAAACCAAATGGCACTTGCCCACTTCCTTACTCTCTGGAACAATTCCGTTTTAGTGGTTGCAATGCCGTAGTTTAGTGTTGTGTCTCCTCACTCTGGGGTTTGGTGGGAGGCAACCATCCCTCCTTCTGCCCCAATTCCCTCTTTTTTTAAAAGTTACTTATTTTTATTGGAAAGTCAGATTTACAGAGAGCAGGAGAGAGAGAGGAAGATCTTCCATCCTCTGGTTCACTCCCCAAGTGTCTGCAACAGCCAGAGTTGAGCTGATCCAAAGCCAGGAGCCAGGAGCCTCTTCCGGGTCCCCCACACGGGTGCAGAGTCCCAAGGCTTTGGCTCCTTGATTGCTTCTCCAGGCCACAAGCAGAGAGCTGGATGGGAAGTGGAGCACCTGGGATATGAACTGGCGCCCATATGGGATTCCAATACATACAAGGAGAGGACTCGAGCCACTAGGCCACTTCACTGGTCCTCCTGCCTCAACTCTTAAAAAACAAACGAAAACATTTTCAGTTTTTGAGAAACGTTTCTAGGGCACAGAGGTTAAGTGGCCATCTAAGGTGATGGTGTCCCATGCGGCCAGCAGTTCAAGTCCCGGCTGCTCCACTTCTGACCCAGCTCCCTGCTAGTGCTGCTCGGACGGCAACAGGTCCATGCGCTTAGGTCCCTGCCGCACGTGAGATTCCAAGTGCTGGCTTTGTCCTGTCCCAGCCTCAGCCGTCGCAGCCACTCGGGGAATGAGATTTGAAAGGCCGAGGCCGGGGTGGGGAGGGGCGTGGTGGGAGGAGGCAGAGAGAGGATGAATGTTCTATCTGCTGGCTCTTTCCCCATTGGTTGCAATGGTTAAACGGGGCTTGCTGGAATGCAGAAGCCAGGAGTCTCCTTCGGGTCTCCTGTGTGGGTGCAGGGGCCCACGCCCTTCCAGGTCTCCCGGGTGGGTGCAGGGGCCCACACCCTCCAGGTCTCCCGGGTGGGTACAGGGGCCCACGCCCTTCCAGGTCTCCCGGGTGGGTGCAGGAGCCAGGAGCCTCTTCCAGGTCTCCCACATGGGTGTGGGGGCCCACGCCCTGGACCATCCTCCACTGCTCTCCTAGTCTGTTAACACAGGGCTGGATCAGAAGTGGAGCAGCTGGGACTCGAACCAGCAGCCAAATGGGATGTCAGCATCTTAATCCATTACGCTATAACACCTAACACCAGCCCTGCCTCCCCACCCCAGATCTCTAAAAATAAAAAGGAATGCTTCTAAATCGTGCATTTTAACCAAAGATACCAGAATTGTAACAAAGCCATTAAGGCTGTGTTGGATGTTAGGCAATAAAAAACTAAAAAACGGAATAAAGGCGGCCGGGAGTGGCTTGGGACTGCGGGAAAAGATCAGAAAACGGAGTGTCACGCTGGTGGCCTCAGGCTACACCCAGACCTGTGACACCCCGAGATTTCATGGGAACCGCCTTGCAGAAAGCAGAGAGCTGCTGGTTTCTATGGAAACGCCTGTGATGTCACGTACTGCATCGCCTGGGACGTGCAACCTTGGGGTCCGGCGTCTGTCCACGCGTGTCCCTGGACGCTCTGGGCCACACCAAGGACAGATCCACGGGGCTGTCTCCACTGCTGGGCAAGCAGTCTGGCTTCCCTGATGTTATCTCAGAAAACCAAGAAGCTCAGCTGGGGCCCCAACTCCATGGCCAAGGGCCTGATGGCGCTGCAGATGGTGGCCGGCCGGGATGCCCAGAAGCCAGACTGGAGACTGCACCAAGCCCGGCGCTGCGTCAGGCTGCTTGAGCCTGTCCCCGGCAGCACTGGGAAGGTGGCACACACAGGGAATGGCAGGGGCTTGGGGGCGGGCACAGCCACCTGCTTGTCCTGTTCCCAGGGCAGTGGGATGAACCTGGCCAGTGGCCGCCTGGGGGAAGGGACAGGCCAGGCAGCTGCTGCAGAGAGGGAGGCTCACACCTGAGCCGGGCACAGGGCCGGAGTGGGGGGTTGCAGGCCCCAGGGGCCGAGCCCGCTTCAGAGCGCCAGCCTCTTTTTGCCCACCCTGCAGCCTAAGCCTGCTGTGGAGCCGCCTGCAGAAGAGCCGGGGAAGGGGGTACTCCTGCGCCCCGGCTGCCCGCAGTTCAGCACCAGGGCCACGTCCACGTCCCACTTTGGTGAGAGACAGGGTCCGGGCCTGCCTCCTGGCTCACGCGAGCCTGTGTGGGGCCTGGGCTGCTGCTTGGACACCCCCTCTGCTTGGGTCAGGGCACCATTTGGGCAGGCGGCAGGGACACCTGGTCCCGTGTGTCCTGGAGAACCAGTGGGGAGATGGAAATGGTTGGAGGTTCTGGAAGCTTCTGGAAAATGGCTCCTATGGCCAGACAGCTTATCAGGAGCAAGCACTTGGAAGGGGTGCATTGTTGTCGCGAAAACGGGGGGCCCAGACACAGTTGGCCAGCTCAGGGTCTCCGGGGGTTTCAGTCAGAGTCCAGATGAATCGTACCCCCCAGTCCTGGGGCCTGGGCTTGCCCTGTGTCCCCCACCCTCCTGCAAAGGCTTGCATGGGTGTGCACCCCCGGGGAGCCTTCAGGGCCCACGCCCCTGTACTGGGTGTTCAGTCCCAACACCCACCAAGAGGGCCACCCTAGCGTGTTGGACCTGTAGATCCAGCCGCCCTGGAGGGCCTTCCCCGGGACCTGTGCATCAGCTCGGAGATCCGCAGGGCTGAGGACCTACTCCTGGGCAGACGCGTCTCGGACAGGAGCCAGGACGGTGAGGAAGCTCCCGGGGTCTCTGCTACTGCTTGGCAGGGGAGGTTGGGCTGAACGCAGGGCCAGCTCCCCCGCCACCTGGGAGCACCTGCTCCTGCCCCGGAGACCAACTTCCTGGGACCAAGTGCCTCCTGAGGCCTTGCAGTGGCCAGCTGCCACCCAGAGTCCCTTTTAGGGGCTGGATGCTACAGGTCCGCACCATCAGATCCTTGGTGGGGAACCTGCCCCGCTCTCATCTCAGAATAAGACGGGGCGCTGAGGCGCTGGGGGGCGGCCCCGGGTTGCATGGGGAAGCTTGGGTGCCCTGCTATCCCACCTGGCTCTCTCGATGCCAGCCTCCGCAGGGGAGGTCACAGGTGCAGCTGGGCAGCCCGGGGGCGGAGCCTCAAGGACACCCGCCGGCTCCTCTGCAGGCTGCCTCCTCCCGGCCAGTAAGAGCCTGTACGAGCTGAGGGGCTCGCACAGGACGCAGGAGTCACAGACGTGCAGTCCCATCCCCAGTGGCTCGGTGGTCGCCGAGAGCCCCCCGACAAAGAGGGTGCCCTGGTACCTCTCGGTCATTCACGAGAAGGTAATGGTGCCACCCTCCTGCCCGGGAGGGTTCTGGTCTGTGTCTGGTCCAGTCAGCGGTCCTGGTCCCTGCCCACACGTGTGAGGGGCAGGGCGCCAGCACGTGCGACCCCCAGCTGACCCGGAAGTTCCACCTTGGGGACAGGGTTCACTGTCAGCTGGAGGCCCAGTGATTCACTCACAAGTCACGTGTGGTTCCTGGTGACGCTCCTGCGAGACACACTGGCCTGTGGTCCCCATTGCTGTCCCCCTACGTGGGCCTGGGGCTGTTCACCTGCAGTCTGTCACCCCAGAAGGGCTGGCCTAAGTGGGGGGGCACCTGGAGTCTCCCGGGGGATTCCAAACTGAAACAGAGAGAGAAAGGTTTCCATTGGTGATGTCCTCTCCCTAAATGGCTGTGCAGACAGGGCCGGGCCAGGCTGAAGCCAGGAGCTCCTCCTGGGTCTCCCACGTGGGTGCAGGGACCCAGCTACTTGGGTTGTCTTGTGCTGCCTTGCTAAGGCATCTTAGTAAGCAGCCGCACTGGAGGACAGCAGTGGGATTTGAACCGGCGCCTCAGTGCGGGATGCCAGTTTCTGCAGGCGGCAGCTTAACCCACAACTCCACCATGACACCTCCAGAAAACTAACCACAAACTCGGGTCCTTCCAAAGCCATGTGGGTTCCTTCTCCCCTTGGGGGTGCTACATTCTGGGAATGGGGCCTGCTTCGGACAAGTTTTCGGGTGCCTGGACCCCACACCATGCGGGACTCAGGGGAGCAGGTCCTTTCTCAGCTGCTGAGCCGGGAACCCCATCACCATCAGTCATGCTAGAGGCTTGTCCAGCTAGTAACTTTCCCTTAAAAGCAGCTGCAGGCTCAGCAGGTTTTCTCGGTCCTTCTGGCTGCCCCGGGAACGCCACATACTCTGCTAGGATCCCCAGCTCCTAGGCCAACAGCACCTGCACCGACCAGCGGGCTCCGCGTGGCTCGGAGCCCCCGCACAGGCGCCCTCTTTCCAGTAGTCTCCGTGGGCAGATGGAGAAACGCATCTCCACATTATCGTGTGGCATCTCAGATAGCAAGTTGCAAGAATAGCACACAGTAGGGCCGGCATTGTGGCGCTCTGGGTAAGCCACTGCGTGTGCCGCCAGCAGCCCGTGCGGGAGGGCCCAGCACCAGTCCAGGCTAACATGCCCAGGAGGCAGTGCAGGCTGGGCCACGTGCTGGGGTCCCTGCACCCACGTGGGAGACCTGGAGGGGAGTGACGCAGCAGCAAGATTCCCTGTGTGTCACCTACATCTTTAAGCAGAAAAGGAGTCTGCAGGCTGCCCATTCCTGGAGTCCCTGCACCAAGGCAGAGCCAGGCTTGCTCTGCGGCCTCCCCTCCCCACACCCCATGTCCCTCCCCTCCCCACGCCCCTCCCCACACCCCATGTCCCTCCCCTCCCCCTCCCCTCTCTGTCCCTTCCCCTCAGCTCTTTCCCCAGGTCCCACCTGCGGTTTTCTCCGAATCCCTCAGATGACCGAGGTCTCTGGCCCACCTACCCCCCTGACCCCACCACCCCCGACCCCACCGGCCGATTCGGGGCAGTTAAGCCTGTGCCTGCCTCTCAAAGCTGGGGGCCCAGTCCCATCTGCCTCCTGTGGCTGTATCCACACACCCAGGCTGGGACCGAGTGAAGAAAAGGGGTTTACTCAGTCCCCCCTTCGAGGAGCTCATGTCCACCGGCTGGCAGCCCCACTGATTTGGCCTTTGGTGGGCCACACCCATCTGTGTCCCCCACGGGCAAGCAGGTGTGAGAGGCAGGGGTCAAATGGCAAGGGGTCGGCCCACTCTGGTGAGAGTTTAACCCCTTCCCAATGGCTCCACTCCTTAAAGCTCATGTCCTGCGGCACTTGCCCCATCTGAGTTCTGGGGGCGGGCACGCCGTGCTGGGGGCTGTGGCCAGCGGCCCAGCGGTGCCCGCCTTCCCTCCCAGGACCACCGCCTGCACCAGCTCGAGGAGGAGCTCCGGCGCCTGGCCCCGCTGGAGACCCAGGTCCGGAAGAAGGACGAGGAGCTGCTGGCGCTGCAGGAGGAGAGGGAGGCCCTGAGGAAGCAGCTGAAGGGTCTCCTCCGGACCAAAGGTCGGCAGGGACCTGTGCCCTCCCCCCACCCAGGGTGGCCCAGGCCGCGCCCCGCGATGCACTGCAGGCACCAGGCGCAGCTGACAGAGGGGAAGGGCAGAGGGGCCCAGATCGCCTCTGGGGAGTGCAGGAGGGAGTCCCAGCTTGGGCCTCGTGGGCAGTGCCACTTCAGTCAGCCTGCCCGGCCAGCCGGCCTCTGCTGTCCACTCTCAGGTGCGGTGCCTTGCCTCGGAGTCCTTGTGGACCCAGAGCTGGCATGAAGTGTCCCCCAGCCCCACTGCAAGGCCCCTTGTGGGGTGGCAAAGCCCCGCCCCCACCCATGCTGTTCTGTAGGTGGCTGCCCTGCCCACCAAAGCAGCACCCACTTGGGGCCCTGCCTGGGTGCGGGAACAGTGGGCAAGCAGAGGCAGCACCCAGGGCCTTACAGGGCGGCCCTCAGAAGCGGCGCTGAAGCTGGCGCAGCTGAGCCTCATGAAGGTGTCAGAACGGGACCAGGAGCTGCAGCTGCGCACTGAGGTCTGGAATGGCCGGGAGCCAAGGCCAGTGGCTTCCGCAGGGCTGCCCCGGGGAGGGGGAGGTTCCAGGGCCTGGACAGCCCCGGCCCTTGGGAAGTGGTCCCCAGGATGGGCTCTCAGAGGAACCAGTGAGCTGGTGGGCTCGAGGCCCGCCGGTTGCCCCGGACTATGGCTCTGGGGACCTCTGAAGCTGCACCGGCAGGTCCAGCCTGGGATGGGGTGCCCGAGTGGAGGAGCCCCCACCACCAGAGGGACTCACCTGCTCCTTCTCCTCCCCCCAGACACAGGGGGAGTCCCAGGCCTTGCAGGCGGCCAAGGAGCCAGCTCTGGACAGCATCCAGAAAGAAGAGGGCTTGGAACGGAAGCCTGAGGGTGGGAGAGAGAGGGAGCTAGCCGGGGAGAGAGGGGCTACGCAGGAGGAAGAGGAGGAGCAGGAGGAGGAGGGGCAGGAGGAGGAGGAGCAGCGGGAGCTGACGGAGGAGGAGGAGGTCTTCAGGCCCCCTGGCTACCCCCTGATGGAGGCCTTTGAGGAGGAGCTCATGGCGCAGCTGGAGGAGTATGAGCAGGCCATCCTGGAGTTCCAGCACGAGCTGGAACTCTCCAGGAACAGATACTCGCTGACCACAGGTAGGCTGGGCCCAGCCAGGGTGCCCTGTGGCCAGGCAGTGGGCCGGGCGGCCCCTCAGCCTCAGTGCTGCCTCTGCCTGCTCCCCCAGGAGCCATCACAAGCCTGGAGCGGCAGCTCAACTTCCAGGACTTGGAGATGCGCAGGATAAACACGGAGAACGAGGCCCTGCAGAAGGAGCTCCGAGAACGCAAGCAGCAGCTGCGGGCCATGTCCGACAAGGTGGCTGCCCCGGCACAGGGCCCTCGCACCCTGCCGCCCCTGGGGCCAGCTCAGGACTCAGCCACCGCCCCTGGGGCCAGCTCAAGGCTGGCTGCTCGGCCTCTCAGACCTCCTCAGCCCCTGTCTTCCCCTGTGCCTTCCTCAGCAGTGCCCTGGGCTCCCGGTGGGGTGAGTCAGGGAGGGGAGCAGGTGGATGCGCAGCACAGGAGCTGACCGCCCTGTGGGTCCCGCAGTTCTCCAGCCTCCGGGAAGACAAGAAGCACCAGGAGCTGACAGATCTCACTGAGAAAGATAACCTCCTGCTCCGTCAGGTGTGGGCTGGGCACTGCTGGGCACTGCGGGTGCTGTGGGCACTGTGGGCGCTGTGGGTGCTATGAGCACTGTGGGTGCTATGGGCACTGTGGGTGCTGTGGGCCCTGCGGGTGCTGTGGACACTGTGGGCACTATGGGCGCTGTGGGCTCTGTGGGTACTGTGGGCACTGTGGGCGCTGTGGGCACTGTGAATGCTGAGGGCTCTGTGGGTGCTATGTCTGCTGTGGGTGCTGGGGGCACTGTGGGTGCTGTGGGCACTGTGGGCGCTGTGGGAACTGTGGGTGCTGTGGGCACTATGGGTGCTGTGGGCACTGTGGGCACTGTGAATGCTAAGGGCTCTGTGGGTGCTATGGGCACTGTGGGCGCTGTGGGTGCTATGAGCACTGTGGGTGCTGTGGGCACTGTGGGCGCTGTGGGCACTGTGGGCACTGTGGGCACTGTGGGCGCTGTGGGTGCTGTGGGCACTGTGGGCACTATGGGCGCTGTGGGCGCTGTGGGCTCTGTGGGTACTGTGGGTGCTGTGGGCTCTGTGGGTACTGTGGGCACTGTGGGCGCTGTGGGTGCTGTGGGCTCTATGGGCGCTGTGGGCTCTGTGGGCACTGTGGGCGCTGTGGGCACTGTGAATGCTGAGGGCTCTGTGGGTGCTATGTCTGCTGTGGGTGCTGTGGGCACTGTGGGTGCTGTGGGCACTGTGGGCGCTGTGGGCACTGTGGGTGCTGTGGGCACTATGGGTGCTGTGGGCACTGTGGGCACTGTGAATGCTAAGGGCTCTGTGGGTGCTATGGGCACTGTGGGCGCTGTGGGTGCTATGAGCACTGTGGGTGCTGTGGGTGCTGTGGGCACTATGGGCACTATGGGCGCTGTGGGCGCTGTGGGCGCTGTGGGCACTGTGGGCGCTGTGGGTGCTGTGGGCACTATGGGCACTATGGGCGCTGTGGGCGCTGTGGGCTCTGTGGGTACTGTGGGCACTGTGGGCGCTGTGGGTGCTGTGGGCTCTATGGGCGCTGTGGGCTCTGTGGGCACTGTGGGCGCTGTGGGCACTATGAATGCTGAGGGCTCTGTGGGTGCTATGTCTGCTGTGGGTGCTGGGGACACTGCTGACACTGGGCACTGCAGGCAGTCTGGAAGTCCCCACCCTCTCTGTCAGTCAGTCCTGGTGCCCCCATGGTGGGGAGCTGAGGCCGGAATCTTCCCTGCTCCATTGACCAGCAGCCCCTCACCCGCCCAGGGCCGCAGTGCCACCCGAGGGCGACGCATGTGGCCATGCGGTCAGCTGGGCCAGGGGGACAGCCCTGAGAGCTGGCGGCCAATTTGGGGGGAAGGAGTGGGATCAAGGTGGGAAACTGGTCCTCCTTGGTTCTCTGCAGCAAATCTCAGAGCTGGACAGCGAGCTCAGCAGGCGGGGTCTTGTCATCACCAAACTGGAGGCCAAGGTCAGTGAGCTGCAGGAACAGGTGGACCTGGACCACAATCACCTACAGAGGCAGAAGCAGCTGTGGGAAGACCTGCGGGGACGGAATGAGGTGATCCGGCAGGCAGAGCAGCAGGCCCGCGTGGCCCTGGAAAGCACCCAGGCCAGGGTAGGTCCAGCCCGCACCCACACAGGGAGACAGGCTAGAGCAGCCAGGGCTATGGTTCGCCTCGGCCCGCTTGGCCTGGGATGCCCGCACCTGTTCGGAGCTGGTGGAGGAAGGGTAGGGCTGCGAGGTGCCCCAGAACGTGCTGTCCGCAAGGAGCCGTGGGCAGGTACCGGGTTCATCCAGGGAGGAAGGTCTTGGTTGGGCTGCAGGAGGTAAAATGCACTCAGGAGGGAGACCGGCCTGCAGGTGGCGGTCTGAGCGAACACACAGCCATATGCTGCGGCAAAGCTGGCCTTCTCCCAGGCTGGCCATCCCCGTCGCCCTGCCCGCACGCGGCCGTTTGCCGGTGGGCCCAGCAGCCCCAGACCCTCGGTGGTGCTGGGACTAGTCCCGTGATCTTACCTGCAGGCCCCACTCGGCACCGCGTGGACGAGAGCCCAGAGGGAGAGCCCACGGGAGGCGCAGAGCTGCTGACTGGGCCCCTCCACTGAGCTGACCACCCCAAGCCGGGAGGGGGGAGTTTTTTGTTTACATGGTTTTTTTTTTATGTGTGTATTCTAAAAGCAGAGTTAGTGAGTGCCAGAAATGGGGGGCGGGGGGCGGGGAGAGAGAGATGTTTCAAGAGCTGCTCTGCTTCATTCCACACGTGGCCACCACAGCCAAGGACGGGCAGGCCAAAGCCGGCCGCCGGCAGCTTCCTCACAGCCCCCACAGAGGCACCAGGGACCCAAACACTTGGGTCATTTTCCATGGCTTTCCCAGGCCATACACAGGGAACTGGGCCAGGAATGGAGCAGCCGGGTCATGAACCAGTGCCCCCTGGGCTGCTGGGGTCCCAGGCCCCCTCTTCCCATTTTGTAAAACCAGTGCGGGTCAAGAAGTGGCACTAGGGAGAGAGTGGGTTTGGGCGCATTGGGTTCTGCCCACCGCAGGTTCCTGCTCCCAGAGCCGAGTGGTCACAGCAGAGCCTTTTGCCCAAGCTCACACCCGCCGATGGCCAGCAGGCCAGGCCCCGTCCCCGCCAAGGCCAAGGCCACGGCCACGCCCCATCCCCCCCCCCGCCAAGGCCAAGGCCAAGGCCAAGGCCAAGGCCACGCCCCATCCCCGCCAAGGCCAAGGCTGGCACCGTGTGTGTTTTTCCTTTGCTCACAGCTCGAGAGACTGCGGAATAAGATTCTGCAGGCCACCTTCAGTGTCACGGGGTTCAAGTCTTCCACCGAGATCACGGACAGCGACATCCTAGAAGCCCTGCAGGTTGGTCCCGTGTGCCCAGGGCAGAGGGCAGCCTGCTCACAGCCCACCTGTGCCAGCCACACACAGGGAACCCCCTCAGCCTGGCTCCCTCCAGTTGCAGGGGCTCCCCAGAGGCCTTGGAGGAGGAGCAGGGTCCCCAGGCTTGGGGTGGTGGGCAGCAGCAGTCACCCCAAGGTGCTTCTCACGGGAGAGGGTGTGCGTCCCCAAGGCAGCCCGGGGCTCTGGGCAAGACCCCGCTTCTGTTCTAGTCTCAGCCCTTAGACCCCAACAGGTGCCCTGCGTCTCAGACACCTGTGTCTCTCTGGGGCCGGGGTAGGATGCTCTGGGGGAAGGCCTCCAGCCTTGTTCCTGATCTGAAGTGGGACAGGAGGAGAAGGGAGAGGCTGGGAGGAGGAAGAAGGGAGAGGAGCAGGGAGTTCTGGAGTCTGAAAGGGCAGGCCAGGGGTAGGCTCCAGGACAAGGGGCCTGAGGTGTGTGGGGCACATCTCCATACACCCCCCACGGCCCCCCACGGCACCTCACCCTGCTCCCCAGCACCTCACCCTATGGCAGGGTCAGCCATTGTCCTTGATTTTGCATTCGAGGTTGGCCAGGGTCAGTGAGCTGAAGCTGTGTGTGCTAGAGGCACAGACAGGGGTGAGGGCAGCCACAGGCAAGGGTGCAGGTGGGGGGTGTGGGCAGCCAGGGGCAAGAGAGTAGACAGCTGTGAGAAGGAGTATGGGCAGCCAGGGGCAGGGGTGAGGGCAGGTGGGGCAGGGGTGAGGGCAGCCAGGGGCAGGGGTGAGGGAAGCCATAGGCAATGGTGTGGGGAGTCAGGGGTAGGGGTGTAGGCAGGGGTGAAGGCAGCTGGGAGCAGGGGTGAGGGCAGGGGTGAGGGCAGCCAGGGGCAGGGGTGTAAGTAGGGGTGGATGAGGGCCGCCGGGGCAGGGGTGAGGGCAGCCGGGCAGGGGTGAGGGCAGTGGGGAGCAGGGGTGAGGGCAGCCGGGCAGGGGTGAGGGCAGCCCCTGAAGGCTGTCTCTCCCAGAGGATCATCACGGAGCGGAGTGACTTCCACACCCAGCTGAAACAGAAGGGAGTCAAGGTGCCACCCCTGCAGCAGTCGGAGACCACCCTGCCCATCAAGTCCAAGAAGACCCCATCCAAGTAGGCCCGCTGGGCCTGGTCCCCCGCAGCCGGGCAGGGCTGAGTCCGAATAAACTAGGTGTTGACTGCAGTCTGGCCTCTCTGGCATGGGGGGAGGGTGCCCCACAGGGAGCAGGGTCCCCCAGCCCAGGTCCCTAGGAGGCCTGGCCCACCCTCCGCGTCCAGGACCCTGGTGACCCCACAGAGGCTGGGAGTCCTCCAGGACAGGAGCTCCAGTGGGGAGCCCGGGCCAGGACAGGGAACCCCGCTTCTCCCACGCGCGTCCGTGGGCCTCGTCCCTGCTGTGCCCGCCCTGCTGCCCGAGGCTGCGGGACCTCCGGCCCAGGGGTCAGGACGGGGGCCACACCTGCGGCTCCTGCGTCTCGGGACCAGGACGCGAACCTCTGTCCTGGAGGAGGAGGCCCTTTGCAGACCTGGACAGCTGCACATCCCTTGGGCGCGCCGGGCCCCGCCCACCCAGATCCCGCCCACCCAGACCCCGCCCCTCCGCCGGCTCCGCCTCACCCGCCAAGCAAGGTCCCGCCCACACCAGCTCCACTCCCGCCCGGCTCTAGGCCCCGCCCCTCCTCTGGCCCCGCCCCCGCCGGCTCCGCCCCACCCGCCAAGCAAGGTCCCGCCCACGCCAGCTCCACTGCCGCCCGGCTCTGGGCCACGCCCCTCCTCTGGCCCCGCCCACGCCAGCTCCACTCCCGCCCGGCTCTAAGTCCTGCCCCTCCTCTGGCCCCGCCCCCGCCGGCCCCGCCCCACTTGCCCAGCTAGGCCCCGCCCACGCCAGCTCAGCCCCGCCCGGCTCTAGGCCACGCCTCCTGCCCGCCTCTTTTCCGGGCCCCGTCCACTCAGGCTCCCGCTCCCACCCAGGCCCCGCCCACGCCAGCTCAGCCCCGCCCGGCTCTAGGCCACGCCTCCTCCCTGCCCCTTCTCCGGGCCCCGTCCACTCAGGCTCCCGCTCCCACCCAGGCCCCGCCCACGCCGGCCCGCTTCCGCCCTGCTCCAGGCCCCGCCCCGGCTCCGTCCAGGCCACGCCCCCGACCTGGAGAGGCGTCCATCGCGCGGCGGCCGCGCTCCTGGGCACAGGTGAGGCACCCGGCCGGGGCCGCAGCCCCCAGCTCCGATGCGGCTGCAGGGAGAGGTGGGCAGAGCTGCCGGCGGCCCCGGCCCTCCGGGGACCGGATGTGCCCGGCCGCTCCCGCTGACCGCCCGAGGACGCCCTGGGCCCTTGCCGTGCTGGCCTTCTGCTCCCAGCGGGTGCGGGCCCGCCAGGTGCCCGTGGCAGGGGCCGGGGCCACTGGGGCCAGGGGCGGCTCCCGGGGCGGCCTCCTGGCCGTGGCCCCGGAGCAGGTCAGGGCCTCACGGGCTTGGGATCCCACTGCCCCTGGTCAGGCTGGAGCATGGCGGCTCGGCCTGGGACTGAGGTTCCAGAACACACAGCTCCAGGCTTGGGGCGACAACCTGTTAGGAGCTGCAGGCAGCTTCCCAGGGAGGCCTGGGAGGCAGGCGGGGGTCAGTGCCGTGGGGTGCCCGGCTGACTGCGGGGAGCAGGCGGGTGGTCAGCCGTGGTGCTGGCCTAGAACAGGAGTGCTGTGTCTTAACGGGCACACTGCCCGTGAACGCTGCCCCGAGCTCTGTAGCAGCCGGACTCCCCCTGCCTGGGCTGTGTGCTGGGTCACGGGGCAGGCCAGCCTTCCTGGCAGTGGGGACTACTTGCCCGGGACCCCCCACGGCCGGTTCGGACCTGGTGTCAGGTGCCCTGACCCCTCTCGGGTCAGTGAGGGTGGAAGGTGCGGGAGGTGCCAGGCCAGGGTCCAGCAGCAGCAGCGAGGCCAAGGCCTGGCATGCTGTCCCAGGCCACGCCCCGTCTACACTCAGGGTCCAGGTGCGTGGCCTAGTGCTGGGAGAGACAGCAGCAGGGACTGGCTGCTGGGCCCCCTGCTCCTAGCGCCCACTGCAGCAGGGACTGGCTGCTGGGCCCCTGCTCCTAGCGCCCACTGCAGCAGGGACTGGGCTGCTGGGCCCCTGCTCCTAGCGCCCAGCTGTCCCTGAGCCTCTCATCTCTGCACCACTGGGGCGTGTCCCCAAACCCCGACCTCCTTTGCAGCTGGTGTGGGGGTGGGGCTGTACCCTGGGTAGGCCGTGGGTACAGCTGCAGCCGCTGCCCAGGCCTGGGGAGCCAGGCCCCCTCCCTGGCCGGGCCGGGACGTACCAGCCGCCACCCCTGGCTGGCTGCCCCTCCTTGGGCAGCCTTATCTGCGCGGGCTGGGGAGGAAGATGGTTACCAGGGGCAGCGCGGCCCTGCTGGCCTCCCCTGATTAGCGTGCTGGCCTCCGGGGGGGAGGTGCGGCCCCCAGCCAGTCCTGATGGAAACAGAGTCTCTTCCGTTCCTGAGCCGCGGCTGACTACCTTAGAATTCCCTCCCAGGTGACCCGGGCAAGTTCCTTAAGCACTCGGCCTACTGGGTCACCTGTGGGTCAGCTGAGGCGATGCGGCCAGGAGCGCCAGCCCATCTGAGCGCCCTGTCCCCTGCCTCGCACCCAGGCCGCGGCTTGGCCACTACCCTTGATGGGGCTGTGCTGCACGGAGACGCCAGTGTCCGCTCGCCTGCCCGTGAAGGCCTCAGCCCCCGCCGCCGTGGGCCCCCAGCATGCAGCCCCCGGACAGCAGCGTGCATTACAGCAGGTGGGACGACAGCAGCCGGGAGGAAGTCAGCATGGCGTCCGTGTCCGGCCTGGAGGAGGCCTCGTGTTGTGAGAGGTGAGAGCCCTGGGGTGAGTCTGGGGTGTCCTTTCCTGTGCCCTCCTGAGGCCTGGGGCTCACCTCCCGGTGGTTCTCGCCCTAGGACCTCCCGGAAGCTGTGCACGGGCAAGCTGGGGCTGGCCATGAAGCTGCTGGGCGGACTGGCTCTCTTCTGGGTCATCTTCATCCTGGGATATGTCACGGGTTACTATGTGCACAAGTGCAAATAAAGGCTGCGCGTGGCACAGTCCAGGTGGGCACGACACCCTGCCCCCACGCACACGACCTCCCACACAACGCCATGCACGCGGCAGGCAAGGCCGTGGGTGCGCGCACACGCACAGAGCTAAAGCAGAACTCTTAGGACAAGCCTGCCATCACGCACACCTGAGGCGCACCTGCTGGGGAGCCACACCCGACCTCAGCCCAGGTCTGCCCTGCGCTCAGTCCCCTTACCACTTCAGGCTGCTCTTCCCCTGCACCCCAGGGCCCAGCCAGGCTGATGGGGCCACCTCTGCCCCTTCCCCAGCAGGGCACCTCCCCATGGCGGTGTCATGCAGAGCCCTGTCCACCTCTCCCCTGCACCCCAGGGACCGAAAACCCCGGAGATGTTACCTAGGCGGGAATGGCAGGGGCACGACCTCGGCCTCCTTCCAGTACCCCCAACCCCCACCCTTCTTTGGGTGGGCTGGGCTTTCTGGGCTGCCCGGAGAGGGCCTGGCAAAGGTTGGGATGGCGCAGCAGGACTGGGCCCCGCCAGGGGGACCCCAGCAAGGAGGCAGCTGGGCCATTCCTGCTCACGGAGGAATCATTAACCACTTGCTGAGGGAGCAGTAGCTGCCCGGCCAGGTGTGACGTGGGGCCTGGTCTTCCCTGGCAGCCCCTCCCAAGGGCAGCCCCTCCTGAGGGCCACACGGGCTGGACCTGTTCTGTCCTGGGGCTGCTGCCGTGCCTTCTCCTGACAGTATTCCTGCTGGTGTCTCAGAGGGGCAGTGTTGGTCCCCAGGCTGTCAGCCTGCAGAGCTCTGCTCACCCCCCAGCCCTGGGCTGGCCTCGGGTTGCTGTGGTCACCAGTTACCATCTGGACCTTGGCCCGGTCTGGCTGTGCGCTTGGTGGGGCAGGCAGCTGACCAGAGTCCCTTGCTTGAGCACTGCCATTGCAGGAGGCTGTGAGGCTTTGGCCTGCAGGGAGCTGGGCTCTGCGCCTGGGCCCTGGGGCTGGCTTGGCAGGGCAGAGGGAGAAGGGGTGTCTGTCTGGCGGCCTAAGCCGGGAAGGGAGCTTGGTGAGGCCGGCCCTCCTGGCCCAGGCCTTGCGTCTTCCCCTCAGCAGCGTGCAGAGGCTGGCACTGGGGTTGGCTCCATAGCTGGCCTGGCCCCATGACAAGCACATGGCGTCTTGCAGCCTGGCGTAGCTGCGTGTCTCAGAGCTCAGGAAGGTATCCTATTTGGTTCTTGACAATAGCAGTGGGCCCTGGGCCTCTATCTGAAGACAGGACTCGGGTTCATGGGGCCCTTGGGCACCCCCCAAACCACCTGCTGCCTGGGCCCTGAGTCATGAAGGCTATAAGGTCATAAGGCAGTGGGGCAGTGAGGGCCGCCCGCTCAGTTGGCCAGGTCTCCTGGGCTGAACATACTGGGTCTGGGGGGCGTGCGTGTTCTTGGTGCACAGGCCCACAGACGGGCCGTGACCTGGGACATCCAGAACTGGTCTGTGTGGCTGGCTGAGCGGCTGATGTCCATGACAGGGGGCTGCCTGGTCCACCGTGGGGCTGCAGGTTAGTGCCCAGGGCATCAGTGATGATGGGCAGAGGGCTCGTGGCCTGCAGCTCGTGGCAGACAGCATAGCCGCCTGGCGCCACCGCTGCCTGTGGGTTGCCTGCCTGGGAAGTGCCATATGGCTCTGCACCCCTAACCAACCCTAAGGTCACGTTTAGAAAGTGGTGCTGAGAACAGAATATAGGGGCTGGCACGGTGGCTTGGCGGGCTAACCCCCCACACGCTCCACTTCCGGTCAGGCTCCCTGCTTGTGGCTGAGAAGCAGGTAAGCTGCACCCTTGGCCCCCCGCGCACAAGGAGGCCTGGGAGAAGCTGCTGGCTTGCAGCTGGCCGCGTGGGGAAGTGAACCAGCGCGGAGGATCTCGGCCTTTCAAACCCGGCTGTCCTGGGGAGCCAGGCATGCTGCCGACAGAGTTCCCCTGGAGGCCGTCACACCCCACTGGGCGGCACGACCCACAACACCTGGCCCTGGGGACGGAAAAGCCAGCGTGGTGACACAGAACAGACAGCTGGGGAATGCAAATTAAAAAACAACAAATAATTTAATGTCAGCATGTGGAGATGAACGGCATGGGATAGCCAGCTGCGCCTGGCGCCTCAGCGGACAACGGTGATGTGGGCCGGGGCGGTGGCCAGGTCAGTGGCTGATGGGTACACCACCTTCAGGCTGCCCTCCAGGTCTACCACCCGCACCTGCTCTACCACCAGCTGGGCCTGGCCATCCTGCCCCGCACTGCCAAGCTGCCCAGGGCCCCCGTCGGCCTCTGTGTCTGACAAGGACGCTTCCTCCTTGTTCTCCAAGGTGTCCTTGTGCAGTTCTGCCATTTTCTGCAAAGGCAAAGCAAGTTTTCAGGCTGGCGAGGAGGTGGCGGGGAGCCGTGTGCGACGCCGGCGGGAGGCCTCACTCACCAGGACCAGGGCGTCCATGACATCCTTGCACACCTGCAGGCTGATGGCGCTGGTGACCTCCAGGAACAGGCTGGACGTCGTCTTCTTAATCTTGGAACGGAGATGTGGAGGGCTCAGAGAGCAGCTGAGTTACCCCAGGTGGGCGGCGGCCACGGCGCGCTGCCTGGCACACGTATCTCCCACCAGCCAGGGTGCATGGACCTCCCTGGCACAGACGCGTGCTCAGCTTCCCGGGGGCCCGGTGGCATGAGGGCCGGACTCGCGGCCGGCAGCACCGCCTACCTTGGTCTTTTCGCTGTTGGTTATGGGGGGGAAGGAGATCACGTCTCCGTCGGCGTCCACCAGGCAGGGGTAGCTCTCCTTCCCGTCCAGCAAGTGAAGGTACCTGTGTGGGGAACCGCGCGTCAGAGCAGCCTGGGGGCCGGACCCCGTAAGACACGTGTGGGGCTGCGGGCACAGGCTCAGCACGGCTCTGGGAGGGGGTCTGCACCAGGGACGGCAGGTTCCAGGCTGGCTGACGGAGCCCAGCAACGTGGGGTCTCGATCAGGCGCCACGCTTGGCTGCCAATGGCTGCGACAGCCCCTCGCATGCAGAGGCCGCAATGACCTCTGCAACAAGCCAGGGCGGCCAGCTCCCCCTGAAGAGGACGTGCGGCTCCCTCGGAGTGGGGACCTCCACAGCATCTCCCCTGGAGGGAACAGGGAAGCGCCCCTCCCTCCCTGTGCCAGGCCTGCCAGGGCACCTGTCGGGGCCCTCCCTCCCTCCCCCGGGTCTGCGGGGCACCTGTGCAGGCCCTCTCTCCTCCCCTCCCCCGGGTCTGCGGGGCACCTGTGCAGGCCGGACACGTTGTGCCGCTTGCGCTGTTTGCGCTGCTCCTCAGCCTCCAGCTGCAGCTGCCGCACCAGCTCCTTAGCTTTGGCCTCTTTGCGCCCCAAGGGGACAATCTGCGAGGGAAGTGTGTGGGCTCATGCCACGGTCCCAGGCTCCGTGGGCTGACCCTGGCCTGCAGGGCGATAGGCTCTGAGAGAGGTGCTCACCCCCCACCCCTCCAACGCCTCTGCGGGGTGGCAGTCTTCCTGGGGGTAGGGCAGCCAGGCCGGTGGGCTTGGGCTCTGGGGCCTGCCCAGCAGGTGTGGGTTCGGCCCCGCTGGCCCCCGATGCTACAGGCAGCCCCTGCCAGGCATGGCGCCAAGTCAGGTAGCAGGAACCCACGCTCAGGGCGCAGCATACGGCCTCGGCTGAGCACCCAGCGGGCTGTGCCGCCCTTCCCACAGCCAGCGGGCCTGAGGCGGCTGGCAGCCCTGGGAGACGCTGGGGAGTCCTGGGATGTGGGCAAAGCGGGTGGCACCTTGAGGTCCTGTGGCGGCCGTGCCCCGTACAGCAGGGGCCCCCGGACGGCATGCAGGTCATGGGTCGCTATGGTGGCCGCTGTTCTCTTCTCACAGACATCCTCGTGGAGTTTGGTCTAAGACGGGAGAGCAGAGTAACCGGCCCGGTCGGCCCAGTCCAGCTCCGACAGCCTCGCTGCCCAGCCCCAGGAGAGTGCTGGCCCCCGCTCCCTTCCTCCCACCACCCGTGCCCTCTGGGGACCCCCACATGGACAGAAGCGGCCGACAGCTGGTGGTCACCCACAACTGTACTATCTGTACTTGACCCCACCAGGTGGGTGACGCCAGGCGACACTGTGTGTGGGTGCGGCTTCCTCCTGATTCTAGAACACTGCACTCAGACCCGGGGAACCAAGAGGCTGAGCCCACGGCCGGGCGAGGCCGCACACAGGCTGGTGGCCCTGCAGGATGTGCCCGGGGCCTCTCCCGCAGGCAGCAGGCTGGCAGATGGCCCAGTCTAACTGAAACCTAAACAGCTCACATGAGAACACGTTGGCACAGCCAGCCGCCTTCGGTAGCCTGCAGCTGACTGCCAAACCAGCCTGCCAAGTCCCAGAACCGGTTGCCCGCAGAGAAGAGGGCCGCGTGCGGGGCGGCCCGCACCGGGGTCCGAGTTCCCACCTGGGAGGTGAGAAAGCGCTTGAGCGCGTTTCCGGGCCGCAGCTCCACGCCTCGCACGATGGCCCCCACGAAGTAGGGCCGCACGTCCCGGACCTCGGGGCTCACTCGGACCAGCAGGGGCGCGGGGCTCTCCGACAGGCGCAGCACCCGCAGCAGCAGCCGGCCCGCCTCCTCCGCCTCCGCCTCGCCGCTCTCGGGCCTCGGCCTGGGCGCCCGCCGCTTCCTGCGGCCCTCGTCCTTCTCGCCGTCCGCCTTGGCCCGGCACTTGCCGCGGCCGCCGGCGCGCAGGTACTCCAGGACGGACCTGGTCTGGCAGCTGCCCACCATCTTCTCCAGGCGCTTGTCACGCAGCCTGTTCCCACGCAGGTTCACCTCCTTGAGCTTGGGGCAGTCGGCCAGTTCGGCCGGGATCTCGCTGAGCTGGTTGTTGGCGAGGTCCAGCGTCTGGGGAGAGAGGCCGGGGTGTCACTCAGTGGGCACCCCGGGGTCCTGCCGCACCACTGCCGCCCCTGTGTCGCCTGTGACACCCTCGGGGAACACGCACCCTCATCTTGG